GAAAACACTTACTTCTCTCGGTTATTACTTATATAATGATAAATCTTTTTAAATCTTTTTTTTACCGAATCGAAACTTACCGACAACGTTGGATAATTGTTATACTCTTGCGAATACGGTGATAATCCTTGGAGATGAGTCACTTGTTGTATAGAGAGCGAAGTCGACGGAAGTCTATCCGGCGTGGTCTGCGTTGCCAACGGAGTGCCGGATATCGATCCCGTCAATTGATAATCCGAACCTTTAAATTTAACACCACCTTTTAAATACGAATCATCGTGTTATTATCATCGTGTATCATGATTTTGAAGCCTGCCATTTCGTATTTTATCATCCATTCCTATCCTCGATTCCATCTCGACGATGAAATTAACCCGTAATCCGTATCGGAATGTTAAATATTACTACAATTTTTCGATCGATTTTTACCTTTGTTTATAGGGACAACGTCTGGATTTCGATCGTCGGTATCGTACAAATCCTCGGAACTAGGAACGGCGCTCTTCTTTAACGGTAGATCGCTCGGCCTCTGAGCCCTCCTCTCGTTCCTGATCTTCATAGCTACCAGGGTAGCTACGGTGACGAAAAGTAACGCGGTCACTACACCGATCAGTCCTCCTAACAACGGAGTGATCTCAAACGGTACCGGTATACCTGTAACAACAAGATATTATACGTCAATTCGTATAAACGTGCGACGTGTAACACTTGACTTCGAACGCTCGAAGAGGAAGAAAAAATGGGAGAGATCAGGGCGGGGGGGGGGGCGGAGGAAGGGGGGACGAGAGAAGCGACACGTACGTTTCGTCTCGGGATTGCCAGCCAGACTCATCAGTAGGGCTACGACTGACAAACCCTGCCCTAGACGTTGACGGAAAATCGTCCGATCGAATGAAGAAAATTCGTTGAAGAAAATTCGTTGGCAAAAGAGAAAGACGACGAGGAAGGAGACAGAGACGAATTTCCTCTCGTCTCGTTGTCGCCGGGAACACGGTTCGAGAATTAGGCCCCTCTTAATCCCTAACCTTTTTAGGACTCGATAGATACGATGGTGCGTAACGATGATTAGATAAAAACACGTTTCGTCTCGGGATTGTCAGCCAGACTCATCAGTAGGGCTACGACTGACAAACCCTGCCCTAGACGTTGGGATTAGTGTTCGGATTCGGGAACAAATTGAAAGAAACCGATCATTTTCGAGAGAAAAAGAGAGGAACGTGATGGATTATCATTTATTATTATACTCACCGGTCTGTTTCTCAGCGACCTTTAACGTGAAACCTTCCAACGAGGTCGGCTCGCTCCTCCCTTTTGCATTTACAGCGTACAAAACCATATTGAGAATTTTTCCAGCCTCTAAATCGCGAACGGTGAAAGCGGCGTTCCTTTTCGACGTGATATTCGCCTGCAGCAATCCCGTTTGCTGATCGAACACCTCGAGGAGGAAGTGTTGGGGCTGGCCACCGTCGAAACCGACGCAACACTCCACCGAGAGAGACTCGGTCGTTTGATTGGACAACGTGCAATTGTACAGAGACTCGGGTTTCCCTGCAAAAGTACAAGTCGTTACATCTTTTCCAACCGCTCGACTCGCTTGTTGTAAACGTGCAACGTACCGGCTGGAATGATGTGAAACACGCATGCGCTATTCTGTTGGCCTGCGGTGTTACTCGCCCAACACGAGACCGTACCGTAATCCATCTCCGTCATCGGCCGATAAATAAGAATGCTTTGGCTACGGCGCGTCGAGTTCTTGTACTTGGATTCGGACACGTCCACCATTTCTTCCGTGTTGTTGAACGTCCAACGAAAACTGTCCGGCGGTGGATACGCTTCAACGTTGCAACTTATCCGGGCGTCCTCCTGACGCGCCACGCCGTAAATCCGTTTTTGATCCGGCAAGCATATAGGTTTGTCTGAACGAAATTGGACAGAGATTTTTTCTTTTTTTTTTTTAAATTTCAGAGACCAGAAACTTACACATAAGGAGAAGATACTTACACATAATTTTAAGTTCGACGGTATTGCTGTAACCGTCTCCCTCGACGTTGCTAGCGATACAAGTGTAATTGCCAGCTTGAGAACGATTCACTTTCCTCAGGGCCAAGCTATACTCTTGCACTATCACACCGTTTTTCGCATTGTTCTGAATAACGTTCCCCTGCAACAACGTATGCGATCGACGTATCGATTCAATTCGCATCGCTATTCATAATGAAAAAAGAAAAGGAAAGGGGAGGGGGGGGGAAACGTATTCTAATCAAAATTTATAAATTCGTAATTTTCGTACGTATCTAATCGCATCGCGGCAAGTAACACGTTATAAGCGACTTAATTTTGTACCAGGAACACCCGCACGCAGATCTTGCGCACGATCGATCGAGCGTGGCAGGGAAGGTTTTTACAGGTATCATCGTATCACAGTGTCGTAAACGTTGCGTGCCATGGACGTGCGTTGCTTCCATTAACCTCGATCTTTTCTCCCTTTTGCTTTCTTTTCGACCCGTTCACGCAACAACAACAACAACAACAACAAGAACCGAAGACAAAGCAACAATTCCTTGCTAACTCGTCGTCGAGTTGCGTCTACGAACTAGAATCCTATCGTGATCGATATCGACGAAAGCGTATCTTTTTTATCGATGCGCTCCGTGGACGTAGACGCAGCTTTACGTTTCTCTCGGTTTCGCCTCGATCAACTGCGGCGTAGCACATCTCCGACTGTACTCGTGTATTCGTAAACGCAAAAGAGTAAGATTGGGTTTCGAATAATTCTCACCTTATCCTCCTATCTTTATCTTTAGGAGCCAGGCAGAATATCGGTGGTGCGTAGACTCTCGGTTTTCTACGAGTGCCAGATCTCAGGTTCTCGACTCAGCATTCGGTCGTTAGCAAGGCATTTCTGTAATTCGCTTCATCGTCGCGCCGCGGACCCAAGTCGCATTCAAATGTTATTCGAATAATCGCAAGCGGAATCGCATGCCGTGTTCTGGAAACGCCGTTAGGGATGGAGAAAGTCTGCACGTGGTTGACGAAAAAACCTTAACAGACACAGGGTCATCATGAATTCGTGGAAAAAAAAGAAAAAGCCTGTTGAGAGGAGATGAGGCCAATTACCCTCCAGCCGTGGAAAATCGTCTTTTTCGAATTTTTCTATCGTTCGTTCGATTCGTTCGAAACGGCGAAATTGAGAAAAAGAAAAAAAAAAAAGAGAGAGAAAAACACCCGCAGCTGGAGGGTTAAAGCGGAAGAGAAGCGAAACGCACGAGCGCAGGAAGCGAGTCTAAAAAAAAAAAGAAAAAAAAAAAGACAACTCTAGAAAGCAAAGAAGAAAGAGTTTAAGCGAATAGATGATCCGCAGCCATCGTTGATATCAATTTCTTACATAATTTTCCGTGTGAAAATCAAGTTGTTTCGTTATATAGTTATCGATATGTATGCCCGGGCGGCGTGTAAAAGTGGACACGCGTGTGTGTGCGTGTGTGCGTTCGAAAATGCACGGAAAGTGATCGTTCGTGGCGAGGACATACCCTTGAAAGTTTTTTTGTCAACAATTTTTCTTGTCACGCAACACGACATTGCGATACGGTATCGAACATTCCCTGCTGGCGTACACTCGTTCCTAATGCAAGGTCAAATTGCTTATAAAACAATCTCGATCGTTCAGAGATCGTTACGTTTGTTCTCTTCGTATTCGTTCCATTTTCGAAAATGAAGCTTGTAAACGAAGCTAACCTAGTCAATTAATATGGATGGATAATTTTGTTGGAAATTAATACAAAAAGATGCAACACAGCAACACGTTTAGGCAATTTAACGAGAAGTAAACACGCACGCGAAAACAACTTTCTGTACGAGATGTACGTATGTATGTGTGATCGTTGCACACTTGATGTATTATTTCCTATATATATATATATATATTATATACACGTACATTCAATGTGATATTCAATTTTCTCGATCAAATTGTAAATCGCTCTGCTTCGTTTGCTATTTTCACAATTCAGTTATGGACAAGTGAATTATATATATATATATTTATATCGCTTACGTTGTGCTTCCATATGACCTTGTAAGCATTAGGATTTGCATGGACCTTGCATTCAAAATACACGTCATCGCCTTCTTCGATGTCGTCCGGATTCATATTCGATCCTAACTTGAGATGTAAAATTGGAACGACTGAAAGAAGTAAAAAAAAAAAGAAATAGATAGTTAAAAAATGTATTCGTATTGGTTTAAATAATTTGAGGATAATTTTTGTAGATCGCATTTATTATTAACGATCTCTTCAAAGAAATCCGGGATAAAGTATTTCGCGTAAAGAGGAAAAAAAAAAAAAGGAATAAAGTTTTACTTACAAAATACGTTTAATTTCCACGTATCTTCCACTATACTTCGTTGAATCTTGGAGTTTTCCGCCCGACAAGTTATCATTTTATCGTGATCGGATAAAGTTGGTTTCAGGATTAGCGTGGAACTGGTCGTGTTCCCATCTTGAGACACCTTTAACGTGAAAAAATAAATATCGAGTAATTTTAAAAGTTACTTCGGAATACACTTTCGGATAACGAGAGACTATTAGTTTAAAAGAGAGAGGTTACTAATTACACCTGTGAGGACCTGTTGCCGTTAACTTGTAATTATTTAAATTAAACTCGAACCTTATTTAAACAGACTAATAAGGGATGCTTCGAAGGGAACGTAATTTGTGAGCTTAAAAATTGGAAGATTTAACAATCCCAGCATATTATTTATTCTATGTTTTGCTGTCGATCAAATTTTCTCTCGCGCGATCAATGCGTGACACTTTCTTAAAAATCGACGTAGTTCACTTCTCCAATTGCCTTCTAGAAAAATTGAATCATGCGTGATTTGATGAGAAAAAAAAATCTCATTCGATCATTATTTTTCGATCACTTTTCGTTTCGTCAATCCTGCAAAGGTGTCCCACGTATTTTTTAACCCCATATATATATATATTTCAACGAGTAGCTTCGATTGTATTGGAAAGAGCTTAGAACGGGATTCTGATTTCTATTATTTTACACGACGATACGAAATTGTGAAATCGATGATGATTTATAATAAACGATAATAAACGGTAAAAAACAACGTACCTTCTCCGTGTGATTATTCAATTTCTTTCCATTCATGTACCAAGATAACTTAGCTGGTGGCCTCGATCCAACGGTTATACAATTTATATCATACTTTCGACCGGCACTAAGAGGCGTGTGCTCATTGCTCAATATCGTTACAGACATTGGCTTCACTGAAAAATAAGAAACATCTGATAATCTGAAAGTAATTTTTAATCGTCTGATCGATAAGTAAACAAATTATAGAAAAGTATTCAAACGAGAAACGAATATTTCACTCGTCATACGTGGGGTGTTAAGAAACAAGTGGGACACCTTTTTCGAGTATCGATTCTCGAACACCAAGACGAGATAAATACGAAAATGCCGCTTATTTTTCAAATTACGAGCAATTTAATTTTGGCTTGGTAAATATATTTGCTATTTCGATTAATTAATGACGCGCTACTGCATTTCATATTAAAGAGTTATAATTACTGATTACACATCGATAATATAGCGCGTATGCGGTAAATAAACATTCCCTAAAAATTTGCGCACGCTTGAAAAGTGTTCCAAATACTTCTTAACACATATATCTATTGAAATTATTGAAATTTTTCTCGATAGATTTATGCTTACACATCTCCGACGATCCTTTTTTTCGTCTTTAATTTTTAATTCTATTCGATACGATTTAATTCGATTAGAAAATCCATTTTCGTATTTTCGTATAATCAAAATGTTTTTATCATACGATCGATCGTTCAACTCGAAGCGTTAACGAGAGTATCGCTAACGGACGAAATATCAAATATAAGAACGAAACTTACAATGCATTTCAATGGTAACGGACGCTGAAACAGGTTGACTGATATTGTTGTTGGATGCTTGACAAATAAACACCGCGTGAAGATCAGCTCTTGAAAGTTGTTTCACTGTTAAAGTGTTTCTACGAAGGGATGGGAATTCTCCCGGTTCGTCCGTCGAGTCGAGAAGCATTTCTCCACGCCACCATTTTACTTTTGGCTCTGGCCGGCCTGAAAAACACGTACAAAAATATAGAAACACCTCTAATTTATTAACAGCGTGTTATATCGCAGCGCGTGGAACGATTCGAGATCGACTCGAGAAGATAGATAATTCTAAGAAGATGAAAAGATATCTCTGTTCGAGATATTATTTCGTGAAGTGGATGTAATCGGAGATAAAAGAGGTAACGTTACGTATCTATGAATTCGCATTCGATAATTCGAATTAACAATTTCTTTACGTTGTTGCGTATTTCCGCAACGATCATCGTATCTGTCCATTCGCTTTGGACGAAACCTTACGCGAAACTCGATCGTCGATACTCGTGACGGGACGATTAAACGAATCGCGGGAGTGGATTTAAAATAAATATTTACTAAGATAAAAATAATAGAGTCGGTTAATAATTAATCAATTAATTCTCGTGGAAAAAACACTTGGGACTTTGAGAAAACTCACCCCCTGACACCAGACACTGCAATTTCATATCCTCGTTCTCTTCGTACGGACCTGTTACCGTTTGCACAATCGTCCCATGCTCGTCGATGATGTTCGGTTTATGCGGCGGTACTGAAATATACACACGAAAATAGCCAAGCAAAGCGACAAAGTGGATCGCCTTCGTGTAACAGAAGAAAAGTAACTCTCTCCTTCTTTCTTTTCTTGTGTACATAATAATACAAACCTATAACCGTGAGATGAATCCTGGAATTTCTGGTAGGGCTCTTGGCAAAATCTACTCGACACCTGTATTCACCTCCGTCTCTCTCCTCGATGCGATTGATATTCAACGTTGCCGGTTCGGTAACCGTTCTGAAGAAGGCACGATCGTTCAAATGATTCTTATCGTTCCAGTGCGAATCCTTTTCCGACTGTTTACCCCTCATATCGTAACTGTAACAACCATTTCATCTTCGCTTAAGCGAGAAGAAAATTGGGTCGAGCTTATATGGAGGAGAGAAGCGTATGCTCACCTGTATATAGGCGTGATATCGCTTTTATACCAAACCACCAATATCGCCGAATCATTTTGTCGCGGAGGACGAATGTCGCACGGCAATTCTGCCGTACCTTGGAGAACCGCCCTCGCTGTCACGATCGGCCCTGCAACAACAAATATCACGGTCGATCGATTTAATAATCTTAAAATTTTGTCCTCGCGACAAGAACGGGCGACGAGAGATCGAAATGGGAATACGATGTAAGATAATTACGTTTCCTCGATCATCGAGAAACGTGGTTCCATTATATACCATATATATATATATATATATATCTATATACACGGACAAAACAGTGGTTTACCGTTGTGCTCGCTAAATATCAAGTTGCGCATTTATAGATGCAGAGGCGCGTTATACGTGTAGGAGAAGATGCAAGGAAAATAGAGATAGGGGAGAGAGACAAAGGGAAAGAGAGGGAGATGGGGAAAGAAGATAGAGATTATGCAATTCTGAGTGTTTCCGTTTGTACGTGTTTATACAGGGAGGAGATGGTTCGGCTGCATTCCGACAGCTGCCGTTGTCTCCTGAGAATGCCAAATGGAATGTGAATTCTGTTGGTTAGGCTCGAGCCCGAGGAATACCGAGGTATCAATGCAAACTACTGCTCACTTCTACGCGAGCATCCAGCTGCGTTCATCCGACATCATCTTTCGACCTATTCTACGCTGCACAATGTCTTCGTATTCGGTTATATCGATGCGATTGTATCTTAAATGTCTGAAAAAAAAAAAAAAAGAAAGAAAGGAAAAAGAAATGTCTCGAACAAAATCGTATATCTTCGTAAATCGAATATCAAACGATTTCTATCGTCTAAAGCATGATATACGCATTATCGATTATCGTAGCGTGTGAAACAATCGGATTTCGATTATAAGAATTTTCTTAGGAATTGCTAACCTCGCAAGCCAATTAAATTACTACACTGTTGTGCCAAGTGAAGTTTAATACACTGTTGTTGCTATTACGGTCGTATAAGAGATGAAGAATGTTTGTATCACAGTTGGCCGAAATTAATTTACCATCGTGACGTACAATTAATCTGCGGCAGAAGGGGACACGCGCACGAGCACCTTCCTCGCCTACTCGATTCCTACGTAATAACTTCTAATCCTCTCTTTCTCTCCCTCTCCCTCCTTCCACCCTCGCGTTTCACCTTCGTTTTGGCAAAAGCGTGAATCGAATGGAATTAAAAAGTAAAAAAAAAAGAAAAGAAAAGAGAAACGCGAAAAAGATGGAATTTTAAATGGAAACGATACGAACGATACGTTAATATCGTTAAATAGAGTCGAGAAATATGAAAAATAAGAAGATCGGTTCTAACATATGAAACCGAAACATCCTCTAACTTCTCTTTATTAAATTGGAAAGAAATTTCCATCCCCTTGTTCCTTCTATCGGTTGAGCGGCTAAGAGGAACGCAACCGGGGCACTCCGTCAAATTGTCCAACTTTGGCTTTTCCACTCCCGATCATCGAGTTATAAACTGGGTTGAGCGCCCGATCGAGCGACGAAAGATTCCGACAACGAACCATGATCTACTCCTTTCGAAAATTGATAATCTTCGCTCCACGTTGATTTTCTTCGTTAGAAAAAAGTTCCAATTCTCTCTCGAAAGCGGAATACAATTTATCGATTATTTTTTTTTGCTCAAAGGGCCGAACGCTCGGTCGTAAAGTCGTTCATTCCGATAACAACCACGTATATATATATATATATATAACTGACCGCACATTGTCGATACGTGGTAGTAATAGGCGGACGTACCACGTGTATGTACGACATATGTACCGTGTTGCAAAGCCACATGTACGGGTCTTTCACGTGCTCGTGCAGGTGCGAGTAATAAGCCCAGCTGGACACATTCCGCAATCTCTTGTATACAATCTCTTATCACCGATGTAAATTATCACGCGATGTATCGGGGAATCGTTGGAATCGGTTTTAAACCGATTCCAATGAGCGAATCTTAAAAAGGAAAAGGAAAAAATGAGGCGACCAATCGTCTATTTTTCATCCATTCGGATCCAGACGAACGAAGATGCACGATAAACGCGAGAAGAAGAGTATCGTAATCGTAAACGTTCGTAATAACCGCTGTCGTTAAAATATCCGGATAAACATTTTGTTCAAACATTTTGTTACGGATCGAGAATCGACCAGTATCGATAAAAACCGCCCGTACCGCATTACACCGAACACTTCCATCATCGTGTTTCATTCTCGGCCACAAATTTTTTTATTTTCCTTTTAGGACTTTCTCCGTAAAAGACTACTCGCTACTTTTTACTACAACCGGATACGTGTATATATATATACACACACACACACACATACACACACATAAATACACTCGAATAAATTTTTCTTTTATCTCGGCTGGAAAGCGCGGGGAGAAGCGCGGGATAAAAGGATTATCAATGAGATGCACGGACGGGTTTCCAAGTCGATGTGGTGTACGCGCGGAGAACGAAACTTGACAAAGTTTCATTTACCGAGAAATAGGAGGCTATTCGCAATAGCCGCGAGACGAGGGGAGGGGAAAAAAATATACATCACGAGGAACGACGCAATAACCATATATAAATGCGGAAAATGTAATATCTACGCAAGAACAACAGTGCATGTTAGCTCGGTATGTAAACTGTTAGCCGCGCTACGGAGTACGCTAACAGAGGAGACGAGGAGAAGGTATAATACGTATCGCACTCGTATTGCACCGTACAATCGTGCTACAAATACGCATACCGCCACGAATTATGGGAAACACAACACGCAAAGTACATAATAATAACGACCCTGTATTAACGGATGAAACGATCGACAAACAGATCGGATGTCCTTCCTAATGGACGAGCTAAATAATTTCTTTTTTTCTAAAAGGACAGAGAAAATCACGCGAAACGACCGTAAGAATTAAATATTGTATATACATATATATTATTTCTTTTTCACTTGTGTTCGTTTTTTTCAATTAATTTATCCTACGTCATACGTCGGTCAATAGCCGTCCTTCACATTCTCGGGTTAAACGAACCGAAATGAGAAAAGTTTTCACAGCGCGATATGCGATGCATTCAACCATTTCCGCTTCTTACTTTCCTTTTGTACCAACGTTCCGAAAAGAGTACGAGAAATAATAATAAAAGGGATGAACCGAGATAGGATTTCTCGACGAAGTGGAAAGCAAAGATCCGAGCCGTGTTGTAAAAGTTAAATTGTATTATTACCGAATCGAAGAAGGAAAAAGGAGGGAGAAGGGGGCAGAGGGGGAAACTTCAAATATAATATTTCTTCACGATCGACGAATCGTGATCACCGTCTCTCCTTTACTTTCCTATGCTTATTCTTAATAAATGCTTGTAAGATCGCGACATTCTTTGAGATCTTTACGCGTAAGAGAATGGCGTTGAAAAGTGGTACGAGTGATATACATATACATATATATATATCTGTATACAAAATAGAACGTTTAAGCGATAAAAATATGATTGTTTCAGTAGTAGCGCGAAATCGTTGGGGCGATTCTTTCTCTCTCTCTCTCTCTCTCTCCACCGATCCCATTTTAACCGTGTCTTCTTTCTTTTTCCTTTTATTCTTGACCCGCAATCTCTTATCCCGGTCCCTTTAAATTCCAGTTAATATTAGACGAGAGCTACCAGATTAAAAATGGGTATTCTTCGCGGCAACCCTCCTCCGCCCAACTTTCCACCCGAGCGGTAACTGTGATATTTTTTTCTCCTTTTCTCTTCCCCCCTTCCCTTTTCATTCTAACCAACGAATTTTCAAACTTTGTTTTTCCCATGCAAATGTCGCTACTTTCGTTTCGCTCGAACACCAATTTTCCGAAATCACCATCCGAGCGATAACATTTTCATCCATCATTTCTTCCCTCCTCCTATCGAGCGATATAACTCGGACTCGGCTCTTCGTTTTCGGCTCGTCTTTTCGAACTTTCGAATCGAATCGTTCGAAAAATTATAACGCACGCGCGTTCTAATGCAATTTCCCCCCCCCCCGCCCCCCCCTCTTCGAGTAATATTTTGGAAAAAAGGTTTGGAAAAGAAAAAAAAAAAAAAAAGAAATTTATCGCGGCGACAAACTTTTCGTGAAAATCGGATTACAGTTTTTGTTTTTCTCGTTTTTTCTCGAACAAAGTCGCGAAACAGATGTGGACGGAAGAAAGTGTCGTTGGAGCGAAAGTCGACGACAAAGTTGCGAGTCAGCATGACTCGCGATAAATAAGAATCGATCGAATTTCTGCTGGTAAAGGTGGTAAACTTTAGCACGAATAATAGCGACTAAACTCTCTCTCTCTCTCTCTCTCTCTCTCTCTCTCTCTCTC